TCTTATTATTATTCTTATTATTCAAATCTAGGTTTCTTATTATTCATTAATGAGACTTGAACTGGCCAATCAATGTCAAAAGAACATAAATAAGGTGGGGTCTACCAAAAATAGAGTCATTATGTCTTCTCAACTACCAAGAAGTCTCAAGCCAATCAATTGCTTACTTAATTTAAGAAAGTCCTAAATGAAGATTACTCCACAGCTTAGAGGCTGGCCTCGCATGTTGGGAGGAAAATGCAGCTCAGATAGAAAAGGGACTACCAAGTAAAGGGTGCTAGGTGGGGCCGATCGGGATGGGAGATGCAGGCTGAAAGTAGACTATAGATGGAACATGATGGCCACTTAACACCTCTACTGCAAACCACAACACCCAAAAGGAGAGAAAGAACAAAAGAGAATACCCTATCACAGAGGCAGGGTGAGGTGGAGGGGACAGGGTGGGGGTGGTGAGGGGTATGCTAGGACCATTGGTGGTAGAAAATGGGCACTGATGGAGGGATGGGTACTCGACCACTGTATTACTGAAATGCAAGCACCAAAGTTTATAAGTCTGTAACTGTACCTCACGGTGATTGTCTAATAAAAATAATTTTTTAAGTCCTAAATTTTGGGGCTGGAGTGATAGCATAGTGGATAGGGCATTTGCCTTGCATGCAGTCAACCTGGGTTCAATTCCCAGCATCCCATATGGTCCCCCGAGCACCGCCAGGAGTAATTCCTGAGTGCATGAGCCAGGAGTTAACCCCTGAGCATCGCTGGGTGTGACCCAAATAGCGAATAAATAAATAAGTAAATAAATAAATAAATAAGTCCTAAATTTTGAGTAAGAAAGAGCCCAAAATTGCAAAGAGTTGTGATTGTTTTATTGTACCAAGAGTTTAGCATCTGCAAGATAGGAAATAAATTTTTTGTTGAATAAGTAAGATTGGGCTGGAGCGTTATCACAGCAGGTAAGGCGTTTGCCTTGCATGTGGCTGACATGGCCGACCCGGGTTCAATTCCTCCGCCCCTCTTGGAGAGCCCGGCAAGCTACCGAGAGTATCTCGCCCTCATGGCAAAGCCTGGCAAGTGACATATTCAATATGCCAAAAACAGTAACAACAAGTCTCACAATTTGTTGTGAGATGCTACTGGTGCCCACTTGAGCAAATCAATGAACAACAGGAGGACAGTGCTACAGGACAGTGCTAAGCAAGATTAGACGTATTTTACAGGTGCAAAAATGAGCCAGAAGATATTTTGAGTAGGATTTTAGAGGTTTGCTCTAGGGCACTACTCTGCACTGTAGGATCGGAGAGCCCGGCAAGTTACCGAGAGTATTCGATATGCCAGACACAGTAACAACAAAGTCTCCAATGGAGACGTTACTGGGCCCGCTCGAGCAAATCGACGATCAACGGGAGGGCCTTTACCTTTTATCCCTGGCCTCCGTCCACTAGATGCCACCAGCATCCTACACAATTTGTGTCCAAACATTGACAAACGTTTACTGGAGGGAAAATTATTCATGACTGAGAACCATTTCTTTAGTAAGAAATTCCATGGAATATCAAATATTTTGTTACAGAAGGCCGAGGAGATTGGCCAGCAGGTTGGGCAGGTGCCTTGCGTGCAGCTAACTTGAGTTCAATTCTCTGCACCCCATATGTTCCCTTGAACATATGAATTACCAGGACTAATATGATTAATATTATTTACAAGAAATAATTCCTGGTTGGGGATCCCAGGATAAATCCTAACCATCCCTGGGTATCCCAACTTCCCAAAAGGAGATTTTATTACAATGGTCAAGTGTCACCTAAAATAACCTAGACACACCTGGCATAGATACCTAATTGAACTAAGAGTGGAAATGAGCTGATGTTTGAACAAAGATTTAGGAAGAATCTAAAGAAGAAAAGAAAGAATGAAGATGCGTTAGTCCAGTATTGCAAATATTAGTAAATAATATTGGGCTGGAGTGTGGAACTTGGGAAACTGCATGGAATTTAATAAAATAAGTGACTGAGACCAGAGTCAGGAATCCAGGGTCAGTGCTATATCTACCAGGACAGAATAACTCTGATTTTACTTTCCCATTTCAAGTTCATCTCCTAGAATTTTTTTCAATTTATGTTTGGAAATAATTGTCTGTAGTTAACAAATCAGGAATTTCAGTTTTATAAGGAAACCAACTGTCAACTCCAATGAGGCCTTTTCTTGTGAGAGCCTGCAAGATCCTCAATGGGGTGGGGGGGAGGGGAGTCTAAATTATTCACTACAAATCTATATGGAGAAGGACAGACATGGGTTTAGAGTTTCAGGGATAAATTTTTGCTTTGCTTTTAATTATCCTTTGAAGTCTTGGATTTCAGGCAAGACAATTAAGAAGTAAATCAATCTCCCACTTGGTGGAGAGGAAGAGTTCTATAAGCCTCTGAGGTGCAGTGACTGTAATTCAGAATTGAGGTTTCTGACTGGTACTCAGTGCATCTGACTCTGTTAAAATTCTATTTCTTATAAACTGTCCTCTGTGAGTTGTGGGGTGTTAAGTGAACAGAGCTAAAGCAATTCTGGCCATTAGAGTTTTCAGTGAAGCATTTAAAGGCCACGCAAGTGAATCCTAACTCCCAGACCAAAAGAAACAAGAGAGTTCATCAGCTGTTAGACTGAGGTTTCAGTGAGGACAATATGACTGCCATTAGTCCACTTATTTTTTGATGAGTGCAAGTTCAGTGTCAATGGTGAGTGTTTAATATAACATTAAGAAATTCTAAGTATAAAATAATATATACATCCCAAGAAAGACATTATGTATTTTAATGGCCTAGGAAATTTTATCCAATTTTGATATGATAATCTTGTGTATATGTACATATTTGCTTCTGGGGTACAGGATTGTTTACCAAGATAATTATGAGAGCCAATGTTTACTGAATGCCTCATCCCACTGATGGAGAAGTGGGGTGGAGAAGTGGGAGGGACTTTATGTGATTGGAATAATGAATCCATTTTGTTATGTGGTGAGATAGTTAGGTAAATGTCATCAAAAAGGAAGGGCCTAGAAGTTATTCCTTAAAGTTTCTCTTACACTGAGTTCATGGATAGGAAGACCTCTATATGTGCTCTGCCTTTGGCTTTGGCTTTTCTGCCTTGTCCAGTATATTTAGCCCATGATCCCTCATAGTTAAGTCTTTCATCTAATACCAGTTAGGAAATCCACTAGAAAAAAATTGTCTGGCTTAGGAAAAATTTAGTACTCTGAGTGTCTTTAAATGTTCTAAAGTGACCCTAGGTAGATTATTAATAGGGTGGTGCTGAATGATAGCAAATACGTTCATGGGATCAGGAATGCTGACTGCTTTTCTAACTGTTCACTAATTCGTTATTAAATGAATGCACTTTGGTGCTGTAACTTTGTCAGTCTGGAAGGCAAGAAATATTATGATTATTATCATTTGTGATGCTCCCAATTGTTGCAAGAGAACCAAGAGAACCAAGAGAACCCAAGTATCCCAAGAAAACCAAGTATCCAGAGAATATAGGACACTGGGACCAACCTGCTCTCCAACTCTAAAACCCTTGACTACACTGTACCAAACCTGAGATTTCAGCAGCTTTGGGCACCGGGTATCTGAATCAATATTCAGAAATCCTGATCTATCTTCTCTGGATACAGAACTGAACTCAAGTGAATTCACTCACTTATCCCAGGAGAATAAGCACTATTACTGAATGCCAAGCCCTGCAAAAGGCGATGGAGAGATGTCCTCTCACTTGAGTGAACGTTCCACATAACTACAATATGCAAAATGCAGTGTTCAGAAATACTCACAGAGGCTCTTGGGCATGAGCCACACAAAAGATTGCATTCTTTTGCCCAGAAGGATGAGGTGCAGAAGGTGATGATGGCTATCAATATTGATTGAGCCCCTGCTCTGTGCATTGCTCTACGCCAGATCCTTGACAATATCATTTCAGTGTGACCATTTGAAGCAGGAGGTGTTTATTTCTGTTGAGAAAAGACACCTGAGTTCAGAAGAGTCACCTATATGGAAGGGATGGTGAAGAACTTCAGGTCAATAAGAAGGTGGCTTTGTGTGAAGACCACTTTTTGTGAACCTGATAATCATATCTTATGTCAAAAACATGTTAGGTAGTATTGTGAGGAAGGGTGTCCCTTCTTAGAATAACAGGTTTGAATCCATCAAAAATGCATAGTTACAAAAGAAATTATGTTGAGATATAATTGTCATAATTCTTAAACCTCTGAGCTACAACCATATATATTGCTTCTTCACGTGCATACACTAATGATAAGATCTAGTGGTGGGTTGGATACACTCATGATTTTTCAATGTAATGAACCCAGAAGTAGCTGGAAATAAAATAATATGAAATATTATGTGGTTTCTATGGTGAAAAGTCAGAGACTGTAGGGAATTAAAAATATTGTTGGACTTTTTCAACAATAATATGCACTGTAGCACTGTCCTCCAATTGTTCATCGATTTTCTCCAGCAAGCACCAGTAACATCTCCATTGTGAGACTTATTGTTGCTGGTTTTGGCATATCAAATACATCACGGGTAGCTTGACAGGCTCTGCATGCAGGCGGGATACTCTCAGTAGCTTGCCGGGCTCTCCAAAAGGGGCAGAGGAATCAAACCCAGGTCGACGACGTGCAAGGCAGTAGAAGTTAGAAAATAAAAGATAACATATTTATTTAGTCCAGCACCAGAGATCTTTTCTCCTCCCCTGAATTTTACATAAGGAAACTGAATTCAAAGATGCTAAGAATGTTGTCCCACAACATTTTGTGAGGGTGGCTGTGTTTGGTTGGCTGTGTTTCAACCAAACCCTGGCCCTTCCAAACTGTTAATTTCAATTAGCATTGTGGATTATGCCTTTGCCATTCACATGTGTTGGAAAGTGTGCGAGTCTTTATGGAGAGGGATGGGGAATTACAAGAGTCTGCAATGAAGGACAAAAATTGTTCACTTTTGCTTATTTTGTAGCCAAAAGATGGGTCTCTTGGATCGGGTTCGCCTTTCTAATCCTCGTGGTAGCAATTCTAAAGGAAAGCTATTTACCCCTCTGAATGTAGATGCTATAGAAGAAAATCCTCCTAAAGAACCAAAGCCTGTTGGCTTAAACAATAAAGAACGCTTCCGCACCGCCTTCCGCATGAAAGCCTACGCTTTCTGGCAGAGTTCTGAAGGTAACGCCTCTATTCCCTCTGCTCTCTCTTCCAAGTTCTCCTTCCTACCTTATACCTCCACCCACTTTCATACTGAAGAACTCTCTAGTCTCCAAAACAACTCATTTTATACCATCCCTGAACCAACTTTTGCTTGTACCATCTTAACCAAATGAACTCCAGGCATCTGTGATCTACAGTAATCTCCCCAGTCCCCATGTACACTTTCATCTTCTACCATTCTTGTTATCTCCAGTCATTTGTGGTATGGTATCAAGATAGAATGTAAAATAAGTTAGTTTTGAGAAATACCACATGTACTCAACATTTATTATTGTATATGATCGTAATAATTCTATTTTAGTGTTTGTTGTCATTAATATCTGTTACTATGACTAAATTATAAAATAAAGATCCCCAGAGGTATGTATATAAAGGAGAAAACAGCACATATAGGGTTTAATATTATCTTTTGTGTAAGCTTTTGGGGTCTTGGAAATTATCCTTTGTAGATAAGAGGAAACTGCTATAGCCCCACAACCTACAATTGATAGAGCTGAGAATCTCTCCCCTTTCAAGTTCCATGCATTCCTGTGCCAGAATTTCCACAGATGTCTGCCTAGAAGCCTTGGAACCTGTGCCAAGGTTCCTGATGAGTGCATGAAGATTGTGTTGTCATGGTGAGAAACCTGTAGGAAAGAGACACCCAGAAGAAAGTGACCTAGAGACCTTGGTGACTCAGTGCCCCAGAGATTCAGAAGGGGTGTTCTGTAAACATCCTGAATTGGCTGTAAGGGAAAAATCTCTCACCTCTTTCACTTAGGAATAGTACTGATGATCAGGGATCAAAAAACAATCCCCCTCCAGGCCCTACAGAATAGTGACTTCAAGACTGTTTCCATAAGGACACATGTACACACATGTCCAAATGACTCTCTAAGAATCCAAGAACTCACATCACTTCCATCCTAACTTTCTCTTGTAACTATATTTTCTGAACCACAGGTACTTCTGACTCGAATTTCTAGTGCTAGGTTGAGAAGATGCTAGGAAAGACCTGTGTGGTACTTTTGGTTTTCCCAGCATGAATACTAATACTCTGGGATTTAAATGTGGAAGGCTCTGTCCGCAGGCATCCTTTTGTCTTTCCAAGCACTGTGACCTGCCCTTGATATGTGTGTCTCCCTGTCAGATGCTGGGACAGCTGATCCCATGGCAGAGGACAGGGGCTATGGGAATGAGTTCCTCGTTGAAGACATGATCCCCACCCTGAAGGCTGCCATCCGAGCTGTCAGGTAAGACCCCTCTATCCTACTTCTGGGCTTCCACTTTAACTCCCACAGCACATGGCTTCGTAAAGAGCTCCTGGGCTTTGAGAAGGTGGAAGGGAAACTCCCTGAGTAGTTACTCAGAACTGTATTAGGACTAACAGTGTGTCAGTAATCCTGAAGTGTGTTGCTTAAAGAATGATTCCTATTCTAGCAAGTCATGGATGGCTTTTGCCCCAGCAGATTCCTGCAAGTACTTCCAGCTGCCATGTTCTTGTTTTGAATGCTATTTACATGCACTAGCATGGGATTTCTTCCTGTTCATGTCCTTTCCCGAATTAGGTTTTTCATTTAGGTAGTATTCATCCATCTAGTTTTTGTTGAATAGCATTCTCAACAAGATAATCTATCATAGAATATTTTGTCTTTATCAGACAGGGCTGTAATCCAGCCTGGCTATTTCTGTTTTGCTGTAGATTTATATAAGGAAATAAAAAATATGCTGTAATTACTAATTCAGAAGAATTTTGATTAGGATGTGAACACATAAGCAATACATAATGCCCAACATTATGGGTTGCTTAAACACTAAGTATGATTCTCAAAGTGCATGGTATTTTCAGTAAGATTCCCAGACCAATACATCACAGGAGCACAAAGCAGTTGTAATATGTGGACCTTCTCAAAGCCATTTACTTGGTTTCTGAAAACACCATTAACCCCAATGTGACAAAAATATGGTTGGATGAAAACACAACTAACTGGACCCATCACTGGTCCAATGATCTTATTCAAATAAAACTAATGAATGTTTCAGTCTCTAGAGAGATCTCTTCTGAGCTCACTATAGCAGAAGCAAGATTTGGCCTCTTAACCTACCATAAATAAAACTATAAAAACAGTGAACTTGGGAGCTGGAGATACCACAGCAGGTAGCGTTGGCCTGCACACAGCCAACCTAGGTTTGAGTCCCAACAATCCATATGGTTCTCCTGAGTTCTGCCAGGAGTTTCCTTGCATACAGAGCCAGAAGTAACCCTGATCATATCTGGGTTTGGCCCACAAACCACAGAAAATGAGTTGGTTTGTAATATGATGTACTAAAGGCTGACAAATAAATCATATTTTATCGTATATGAAAAATAGTTTTTCATTGGCTAAAGCTGGTTGCATGAAACTCAAATGCATTATTTTATTATTTTATTTTATTGTTTAGTGAAGCATGGTAGTTTTTATCAAACAAAACTTACTTGGAAAGACATAAGGATAGTGAAAGAGATGAATACATGTTCAGGAGAGAACACCACCTTCTCCAAAGTGGCAAAAGTCAAAAGACAGAGATATGTGTTCAAGGAGAACAGAGGCTTGAAAGAGAAAGCCTCAAATGCATTTTTTTAAATATCTCTGCAAGAAGGAGATGGGAAGGCCTGGGGTAGTCTGTGTTTCCTGCCATTGGTCTGCAATTGGTGGTCTAACAGAATTTGTGCTCAGAGATTAAACCATGATGGATTTAATGACTTCTACCCAGAAAAATGAAGCCAAGAGTAATGGAATTCTGAGTCCTGGATATTCCATTTTGCTGGGAAACTGAGAAAACTTGGGTGATCAGAAGTGATATTTTCCCCTGGGAATTAACAAAGCAAAGAATTCCTTAAACAGCTATCACACAGAAAGCAGGGTGACACTGTGACACTGTGATTAGTAATGTGGGTCTTGTCAACATACAAAATTGGATTTGAGAAAAAAATTGATATTATTAGTTATTCAATTCTAAGACACAGCTTTGTGAGTCACAGTTCGATCATCTATGAGCTTAGTTACTGCGATTTTTTTCCAAAAAGCAATTATCTCAGCAACTGACCTGCAATGAATGCTCAGTAATGGTTAGCTCTTACCATAACTATGACTTTCTGATTCTAGCATTATAGAGAGTCAGTCATGCCAAAAGGGACTAGACAACCCAATCCTATGTCATTGGAAGTAGAACAAGAAGCAAAATTTGGAACCCTGCCAAGTTACGTTTTCTTTGGTTCTTTCCTCCTCTCATCCCTGGCTTTGCCTTGCATCCTAATTCACTTCATTCTGTATTCATATCTGAATTTTCCCTTGCAGGATTCTACAATTCCGTCTCTATAAAAAAAAATTCAAGGAGACTCTCAGACCTTATGATGTGAAGGATGTGATTGAGCAATACTCTGCAGGCCACCTCGACATGCTCTCCAGGATAAAGTACCTTCAGACCAGGTGAGATGGTCACATCTGCAGGCGCTTACTCCTGTAACTGCTAAGAGAGCAAATTCAGATAGACTTCAGAGCTGAGAAGAAATGCTCAGGAATAATTACAGATGTCAAGGCAAACCAACATCAGATCAAATAAGCTTTGTAGAAACTCTGTTTTAGTAACAGAGCCAAAGTCAGCTCCCTGAGCAGGCCTTCTGGAGAAAGGGAAGATATTAGACTAGCTCCTGACAGAGAACTGAATTCATTGCCATTGAGATCATTTAGCAGATTCTAAACACTTTTTTCTTTTCTTATCTTTTCTTTTCTTTTCTTTTCTTTTCTTTTCTTTTTTCTGGTGCTGCTCACTCGCTCCTGGACACCACTTACCACCGTTCTATTTTATTTTTGGCTTTTTGGATCATATCTGGTGATGCTCAGGGGGGCTCCTCCTGGCTCTTCAACCAGGAATCACTCCTTGCGGTGCTCAGGGGTCTATATGGGATACTAGGGATCAAACCCGGATTGGTCGCATGCAAGGCAATTGACCTCCCTCCCGACTATGCTATCTTCCACCCCTCTAAACATTTTTCACCAACCTTTATAAACTCATGTTATAATTATTATGGTGAAAATATGGAACTGGCATCAATGTTCATTTCATTGTTGCCACTATTTTTATTGAGTACTAATGTGCCCTACTTACCTAAAATTGTGCATTGTCTGCACAGCCACCATTGAGTTCAGGGTCATAGAAACGCTGAGCTTCTGAGCTTCTGTTGAGCTTTCAAGACTATGTCCCAGATCCAGCACCAGCTCTCTGCACAAAAAAGGCATTTGCTCCTGTTGTACCCTAGAGGGGAGGGGGCACATATTAAAGCCATATGCAGACGTTTGTGCTAGATCCACTTCTATAATGGCCAGATAAACCTATAGAGATATTTCATATCTAATAATGGATCCTAAGGGGCCAGAGAGATAGGACATGGATAGGGCTTTTGCCTTCATGTGGCTAACCTGGGTTTTATTCCTGGCACCAGTATTGTCCCTGGGCCTGACAGGAGTGATCTGAGTACAGATCCAGAAGTAAGCCCTGAGCATTAGTGGGTAGCCTATAACATACAAACAACAACCAAAAAAATGGAGCCTAGTGTTTAGCAGAAAAAGCTCTTAAGTAGAATATTTGGTGTGTGTGTGTGTGTGTGTTGGGGGGTGGGGAGAAATAAAAGATCTAGTAGACCAGATAGAATTATAATTCCCAGGACAGTTTTCATAAGAACTGATACGTGCAACCTTGGCTCTGTCTGTGGTTTGATCCCTTTCCTCTCCCCTCATGGGGCAGGAAGATGTTCTTCATACCAATAGACCAAAAAATAAAAAAGTGTTGAGATTACAAATTATCTCTTTATGTCTGTCAATCCCTGTCACCACCTTCACCCCCCATCACTACCCCATCCACATTTCTTTTGTCTTCTTATCTTCTCTTATATATTAAAATCCCATAACATATTTAAGAGGAAATAGAATGAGTTGATTTCTTCTATTTCCAGGTAAACATGTTGATAATGTCATTCTCCCCTTTGTGTCTTCTTTTTCAGAATAGACATGATTTTCACCCCAGGACCTCCATCAACACCAAAACATAAGAAGTCTCAGAAAGGAACAGCATTCACATACCCATCCCAGCAGTCTCCCAGGTGTGACTCTGGGCAGGGATAGGCAGGATATGATGGGGCCAGGTTCAACCACGCTCATTTTAAATCTGAAATCAATGCCTTTATAGTTAGGTGAATTTGCCATTTCTGGAAATAAAATGACAGGAGATATTTCTTATGTTTTATGGGCATTGTAAATACTATATGAGGGTTGTACCACCCCAATTCACAGATCATGTGGGAAACACTCCCTTTGATGGATGCTGCAAATAAAAGTAACCATTTCCCAAATGGAAAAGAAAAAGAGATATCTGATTTTTTTTGGCACAGAAAGGTCTCTTCTTTTCACTTATCCCAAGTAATTGTTTATCCATTGTAAATAGTCACTTGTGATTTATTCTCCTCCCCAGATCAGGGCATGAATCAGATATCGGGTCCCTCCATTCAATGTCACAGGTGGAGCTCTGTCCCATAACAGAGCATCTACGCACTTCCACCATGCCCCAAATGTCTAAAACTATTCCTTTCATGGGTTCTGGTGATGAAAGAGCCATCCTTTAAATGGTATACTGCCTGAATTCATCTTTCTTTATTCCCAGATAAGTAATGAGTAAAGGGAGTCATAAATGCACCTACATAAATTAAGCTTCCTTATAATAAAAGTATGATGCCATAAGGCACCTATTCTAGCTTCACTATTCAAAACGTACTCAGGGAAGAGAAACTGGAACCGCAAAGGTTTGTCTTCCAAAGGTGATGTTAATTGCTACTGCTGCAGTTTGAAGATGAACATCCTCTGCTTCCAGATAGTCTGCTTTCTTTCAATGAGAGCTGAGTACTCACATTTTATGTGAAATACCCCATCTCTGAAATGGTTCCAGTGTTGTAAAACTCCATACAAACTAAGGGAAATACCAGCGCACTCAACTGAGCACAGGAACTCCCAGTTTCTGAGATCTGCTATAATTCAAGACTATTCTGCTGATGACAAGAATTAAACAGCAATGAAAAGATTGTGAGAAAAATAAAAGCATGACCTAGATAATGCCTGAAGTGAACAGTTTTGAACAATATTCGGGCTCCCTGAAGGTTTTTACTACACAGACACTAACAGTGTTGAAACATGCTAGAATGTCAGCAGGCATTAATGTCTACAGACACGGAGCATGCATGCCAAGAGCAAACACAGTCTCCCTCTCTGCTCTCTCCCAACAAGCCTTTGTACCATTTTCCAGATTCAAAAGCTCTGTGTTTCCACTCTTAACAAGACAGGCCAAATGAAATACTGGCACACTCTTAATAGACTTTCAGAGATTAGATCATCCCTTTCCCACCCTCAGCCACTCTGTATGGACCCTTTCCCCCGCCCCCATGACACTGGAAGACAAGACTATTGAGTTCAGTTGCCTCTTTAAAAACTTAGGAGCATGAGGTAGAGGAGGGTAGTTTAGGACAGGGCCCACTGAGCTGAAACACCTTGCCAAAAGAAATTAGATAAAATGACCTTATGAAAGTGTTGTCCTTTTTTTCTAGGAACGAACCATATGTAGCCAGGGCATCCACATCAGAAATTGAAGACCAAAGCATGATGGGAAAGTTTGTGAAAGTTGAAAGACAGGTAAGTCTTTCCTGCTCCCTCACCCAAAGACAAATTTGTGAGTGATTGTTTTCAAGTGTCTAGTTTTCAAAGGAAGATCATAAATATGAACATAGACACTTCAGAAAAGAATACGAAAATTAACTCCCTAATTAACTCCCTAATTATGCAACTGAAAACAAATTAATTGTCATGTGCTTCAATGTCCTCCTCTATGAAAATGGCATTTTAGTTCCTTAGAAGGTGACTCTGAGATGAGATACACTTGTAAACTTTAGGTCATCACCCCACATAGGAGTCATGCATCTAAATGTGATAATCTTGAAAAATCTGGCAACAGTCAAAAGTTTCTGAATGCTTAATGGCCAAAAATTAATTTAAAACGAACCATGTAATGAATAAGAACTGTTTCTGACATGTTTTTTCATGTCGCAGTTCTCAGATGAGAAAGGGTCACAAGTAGAAAAAGTTTAACAAACCCACAAACAGCAAATACTCAGCAAATGAGAGCCTTTTTTAAAGATTCTTCCCACACACACACAGACACATGTACACAATTCTGAGTCCTTTGTCCCTGTTCTCTTTGAAACATCAACATGAGACCTATAGGAAGTGATCTAGAGGAGGAGGGGAAGTTCATTCAGATAACTTGAGAAATAGATTTAGAGCCTAGTTTGCCCATGCCTTTGTGAATTTCCTTCAAATTTCTGTCAATCTTTTATTATATAGAGACTCTCAAATGGAATCTGTGCAGGAGAGGAGAAAGGACATCAGAGTGACTATTTTGTTGTATGGAGAATTATTTTCATTATAATGTTTTTCATTAAAAAATTTTCACTTATGATCTCGACTCTTGTATTTAGCAGCTGTGGGTTTTTTTGCCATTACTTCATCTTTCTAAGCCTCTCAATATCTATAAAATAGTATACCTGCACCTCATATCATTGTCATAAAAATGAAATGAATCATTATCTATTAATTGTGTAGAGCAGTCATAAGTACACTAACTGCTCCCTAAGTTTTACTCCTTCAGAAGCCTTGGATAAGTCGTTGCTTGGTAATACTCTTTTTATCTTTGTCTGTAATAGGCACCATACACCTGTTTGCAGTGCTTCCTGGTGTGTCATAAATTATCAAAAAAAGACCGTTGCACACATATAAGTATGCACTCTTGTACACTTTTATTCTGTACTCCCAAAGATTCACTTAATCTGTAGGTCAAGCAGATGCAATGTAGCTTTCTCTAACCCCCTGAAAAGCTCAGTTCTAGGTTACCACTCCCCTGGTATCTTTGGGTGTTATATCGCCATGTAGAAGAAATGCACACTACATGCTAACCCATGTTTCATCTAAGGAAATATTTGCAAATCCAAGACTTCTCCTTGATCAAGAAGACAGCCTCAAGCCACCTTCTTGGAAACACTGTCTTTCAAGCATCTCTTTGCTTTAGGCATCACATTCTGAAAAATCTTTTCTAGGCTGATTCTAGATGGGCATACACACATGATCCGACCTTCAAAAATTAGAAAGTACAAAGTACTGCTGCTGCTGAGGTATTGATGGCTTGCAACAGCCCTCTGTCTTTCTAAATGCTAAAGCATTTTCTCCTGACCTAGAACCACCACCCAAAGCCCCTGAGTAGTGATTCCTGCTTCCTTATATCTTCTAGGTTCATGACATGGGGAAGAAACTGGATTTTCTCGTGGATATGCACATGCAGCATATGGAGAGGTTGCAGGTGCATGTTACGGAGTACTACCCGACCAAGGGGACCTTGTCACCAGCTGAATTGGAGAATAAAGAGCAAAGGGATTCTGATTTGAAAGCCATCATGTGCAACTATTCTGAAACAGGTCTCCTAGAGGCCCCCTACAGCTTCCACCAGGTGCCCATTGACAAAGTCGGACCCTATGGATTTTTCGCCCATGATCCTGTGACTGTGCCCCACGGGGGAGCCAGTTCTGTAAAAGGCCAAACGACCTCCTCAGCAAACACACATACAGAAAGACCCACTGTCTTGCCTATCTTGACTCTTCTTGACTCCCGAGTGAGTTACCACTCCCAGGCTGAACTGCATGGCCCTTTCCCAGACTGGGCCTCCCCCCGACAGAGACGCAGCATCACCCGGGACAGCGACACACCCTTGTCCCTGATGTCTGTCAACCACGAGGAGCTGGAACGGTCTCCCAGTGGCTTCAGCATCTCCCAGGATAGAGATGAGTACATGTTTGGCCCCAGCGGAGGGTCAAGCTGGATGAGGGAGAAAAGGTACCTCGCTGAGGGTGAGACGGACACAGACACAGACCCCTTTACACCCAGTGGCTCTATGCCTCTGTCATCCACGGGGGATGGAATTTCTGATTCGATATGGACTCCTTCTAACAAGCCCATGTAAAGGGGTCATGCACTGACTCCACCTTGTAATGTAGACAGACTTTGTATAGCTCATGGCTCACACCTGACACCAGTCAGATCACCAATGGCTGCATCAAACGCATGCATGTGTGTGGTGGCACCCCACCTGGGCAGGGGCTTGTCATGGCCTTTTTCTTCCCCATGTCACCACAATGAAGCCGCTTCCTTTTAAGCATGGTTTGCATGACTTTACACTATATAAATGGTACTGCTAATCTCTCTAGGATACACACTTATCTGCAGTTCTTAATTTTAATCATGATTGGACCAGTACAGGGAGAAATTAACTGATAATCTATGTTAATTGTCCATTTGGTTGGCTGATTTGGGTTTTGGTTAGGTAAGTATGGAAAGAAATTTAAGTTATTGTTCCAACCACTGCCCCATGGTATAGAAGAACCCAGTGATTGACTCTTTTCCAAAACAAGCAAATCATTTTCCCAACAAAAAACATATTTCATACTAATCAGTGATGTTGACTACTGAGCTAAAACTGTCAGGAAAGAAATAAAATAGTCAATGCTTCTCCAAAACTTAAGATTTGAAAAATTGTTAAGAAACAACTGATAGCACTATCTGAAAATTCTCAAAGGATCCTCACTTGGTCTGCAATTTCCAGTGTCTTTGCCTCAGTTTCCTCAATGCAAAAGATGACAGTAATCATAAGTGCATTCTAATTGATGGGGAAGAGACATTTATACCTACATTTAAAATAACTTCTGACTTATGCATCTAAACAAAGTATAATTTATCATATGACAGGTGCCCCTCTGGGCAGGAGCTAAGTTCAGTGCCTTCAAAATGGGGTTCCAACCTACATTTCTCTACATGACACTTCTATACAATATCTGTTTCAAATGGAGTATAGTATCCTAAAGGCACATGAATTATCTGGCTCAAATCTTCTCTATAAAAGTTAGAACCATTTAACTCAAGCGAAGATATATGCCCAGGGTCTCTCAGTTGTCCCCAGAGAGACTGAACCAAACCCAGTCAACTGACCTGCTCCATTGTTGGTTTCCTGCCATATCACTGTTATTGACAGGGTCAATATAAATCTTGCCAAGATACTTATATTGTGTTTTGTGGAAAGCAATCACAATACAATTTATCTAGCGGGAGGGGACTGTCTGCTCTTTTGCAAAACATACTTGTTTGATGCATTACATTTAGAATTAAAAATACAAATAAGCTACAACATTTGGTAATGTGCAGTTTAGTAAAATTTTTAGAACCATTTGACCTCATTCCTCCAGATTTTTAAAAATGCATGTAGCCATAAGACCAGCAAAAGTATAAGCAGTAAACCTGGAAAACACTGCCCTATTGTCTAAGAATTATTATTAAGCACAAGCCATCCTATGGCCTCCTCGATGTTCTACTTTCAGGTATACTTGATGGAAAAGGTTTCTATTGGGTCTGAACTGAATTAACTAAATGACTATGCTATAGTATTAATGTCTTACTATTCCCACACATTTAAGCACTGGTTCTGTGTGGTTTTTAGGATGACCTCCAAGATGATCAAAACAGCCTAAAAAATGTCTACATAAAATCCCACTTTTGTTCTCCCTCATGCTCTGGTATAGAACCACAGAAGTTGTAACAGACATCCAGTTGAAGATCTTGTCATTACCTAATGCAGGGATTTTGTACTAAACAGAGAAACTGGTTTCTTAGACATTAAGTCCTTTCAAACTGTATGTCAACAGCTACTGTGCAAAGGACTCAGAGAACACTGATAATGAAAGTTTAGCCCTGGCATTAGGAATATATAACCAAACTTTGAAGTATTATGAGATATACAAAGGAATTTTTACATGAGGGTCTCACAAATGAATGGGTATTGACATTGAAGTCCCAGGAGGCAACTTCACAGAAAGGATACACATGTCAGATGTGAAACTTTTCCCCCCTAGGGTTTGCATATTGGCTTTACAAAATGAGAAGAAGGGCCATAGATCATTTTTTCCTCCTTCTATCTCCCTTCAATATGATTCAAAGTGCCATTGAAGAACCCAGGCCTCTTAGCATTCATTCTTTCTGACTTTCCTGGTATTTTTTACTAGAAATGTTTGTGCTACTTACCATACTAATGAGTTATTTGAAACAAAAGCAAACCCCAAAGGAAAATAGGAATAAACCAACTGTTCCACAGGTCTACCATTTATTGTTTTCCCACCAACTGATATTTTTTCAGATCCTAATAGCTTCAACATCTTACAAATAGATGCATCTGCAGAGCTGGAGGGCTGCGGTGCCTTGCACACAGTCAACTCAGGTTCCATCAGGATGATTCCTGAATGTAGAACCAGGAGTAAGCCCTGTGCACAGCTGGGTCTGCTCTCACATCCCACACTATCCTTCCTCTCCCCCCCCCCCGAAAATATTAGATGCATCTTCCAGTAGCTCAATGGAGCTTTTGTTCAAAAGAATGAGAATTTCTCATCCTCAAGCCAAACCACGGATCCAAAGTTAAGGTGTCTTTGAGTAGCTTACAAAGGACTGAAAGTTGTATTTTTTCTAGCAGTAAAAGGGTAGTCTATCTAACTGCCTTGCTGGATCAGAGGCCATGAACGGAAGATTCCATTATGTTCAAGTTGTATATAAATAAGTTATAATTGGAGACTAGTGTGTATTTACACAAAGCTTTTCATCAATCAAAGGAATAATACAATATAAATTTCCAACAGTCTAGGTTCCAGAGTTCACCCAAGACATTGTAATAATTTGGGAGAGATTCCGATGAAATAAGACAAATTAATTTTGTCTCTAAAACAGAAATGATTTTCTGAAGTGAAAGAATGAACTTACTATATGTGAATACATATAGTTTGTTTGTTTGTTTATTTGTTTTTATAATGTAATATGTAAAAACTAAGACATCAGGGTTAAAATGAGTGAGATTAAAACTACTTTTCAAAGTGAGTGAGGTGAAAATTTCAGAGCAAAGTTCTAAGTTCAGGCATGATATCTGATGATCAAATGACAACACACAAGCAAGCACTAAAATTATTTAAAAAATAATGCTAGGGAAAAATTCAAAAAAAAATCAAATAAAAGTTTTTCATTAATTCTTTGCTATGGGAACCAAGATTAGATTTGTTTAACACGATGTTGATATATTTTAGCTTTAATTTTCATGGAAATAACTAGAAAACTCAAAGTTCACTATAGATAAAAGAAACTAATTAATCTTAATTATCTGTGCCTATTCAGCTTCTAGTTACTGAAAGTTATAAGAATAATTATTCATAGAAAACTTTAACAGGATCTGTTCATAATTTGCCAAAACTTTCATAATTCTATGATAATCAGAGTATAATAAAAAGTGTTTGCTCCTTTGACAAGATTAATAAAGCATCATGCTCACCACTTGGGGCAATGCATCAGATATTCAGAGATAAGAAAACTATAGTTCATAGCATAAAAATCCCCAAAACATGGTTGCCATGAATATAGACTCTGCTTTAGTTATCATTCTAGTCTATGATAAATGCAAAAAAAAATCCCTTAAGATTATTCTTAACAGAGATGCTTCCTAGTTTAAAATCTGCATCGACTACAGAAGAAAATGAAAGCAAAATTCTCTATTAAAATGGTGATGACCCCAACAGCCTAGAGGAAGCTAACTGTTGAATGGTTTGGTTCGATGCTTTGGACCTTGGAGCTCCAGACAACTGTGCAAGAAGGAAACAAGAAGGAAATTGTTAGAGAAAACCTGGTGTTCCTTCTTTTCAAATACCCCCCTAGATCAGAGCCAGGGAAGGAGGCAGCTGCTTGCATTTCATCAGGTTCACTAAGAGAGACTTGTCATACAGCCCAAACCATAGCACCTCCTTCAAAAGAAAGGTGTCTCTATGATATTTGGAACGTACTAATCAAATTATCCTCGGGGAAAAAACGATGAAACGCATACGGAGATCTAAGAAGTCAACTACATTTGACAGTGCTGCCTCCTAGAGGACCCAGATTTTCCATGTAGTTTGTCTTTTTTTTTTTTTCACTGATATACTATTTAAAATTCCAGAAACTGAGTCCCTTAAACAAGGCATCATGATACTCTTTCCCCACCCCATGCCCAGTAGAGAACATGTTAGGAATCAGGTGATCTAGACTTAATAGGTGGTTTTCGAGATCCGTAGTAGAAATGTGAAAGAAATACAAAGGATATAGTAATGGCACAAATATAAATTTGAACTTTAGATAATTCAAATGTGTCTGATTTTTCTGATTTGTTTTGCTTTTCAAATGATACCATAATTATAAACATAAGGATCCTAGTTGCAGACTGTAATACATCAGGAAAGAACACATGGAATAATATTTAAGAATGAAGTTCATGTTCATTATTGTATTGTGGACTCAGTGCTTGTCATTAGTATTACCTGTAAACTTTAATTCCCAATCCTGGTGATAGAGATCAAAACCTGAACATAATGAGGAAAAATAAGACCTACTTCTGTACCCTTCTGGGTACCCTTCCTGAACCCCTCAGGAAACTGCTAAGTGGACACTTGGGGGTGGAATTTCTCATTTTTAATATATTGTCAAAAATCTCATGCCTTGATAGATGACAGAGTACCTTTCCCCAAAGTCTTACAATTTTCAAATTAAAACAAAAAAACAAACAAACAAACAAAAAAACTACCAAAAAGACTGCTGCTCTGCATGATTAAGAAAAGGAATGACAAATGATGGTATGATTTTGTAAGCACTTGTCTCCTTAGGTCTACTTTGCCTCTTTTTTTGCCTCTTCTTTGCCCTGACAATCATGGTGTCCTCTTTGGCGCATCACTTGAATACGTTCAGCTTTATACAGGAATTGAGCAGGAATTCCCCTTGGAAGAAAAATGTCTAAGAGATTGATTTTAGGAAATGGATGTGATTTTTTCTAGGATCTATGTTGCCAACTCTATTGAAGTGTCCATTTGTGCTGAGCTCACATGAATATAGCCTGCTTCCTCCTGATTTGTCACAAAGAATGCTAGGTCACAAACAGGTGCTCTAGCATCTTTATCCAAAGCTAAAAATATACCAATAGGTTTCAACTTAAAAAATGTTTGTCTAACTAGGAAATTATTTAAGGAAATGAATGAGTCTCTATTCATTCAAATAAGTGCTTATATTTATGTAATACTTGGGATAGATTTGCTAGAAATTGACCATTGGGTCCCCCCGAAATGTTAAATCCAATAGCAATGTTTCAGTTACCTTGAGTCAGGCCAAATTAGAAAGTACTAACAGAAAAGTCAGGTTCTTAAATTGTAATCTCTGACACAGATTTTATGAACTGCCCTTACACAAAATTATTCTTAGCCTCCAAATAGCACTGTCCAGAGGATAAAATAATTTCAGAGATTAATAGGCAAATTATTAGCTCTGTATCAGTGTGACTTATAATAATAATAACGTTCAAATGTGTAGAAGAGTACTTAATTATATATTTCTAATTCCTCTTATACTTGCCCAGTGGAATACCATTGTCTGCCTGTGAGTGATGAAACATGAGTTCATACTTTCTTGCAATGTTTTCTTCTCTTCTGCCCACAAGACTGAGGTCAGAGAAGAGCAAGGAAACTTTACCCCCACTCTCTTTACGAGTGGCACGAGATGTTTTTCCTGACTCCATGGAATCCTTTTCATAATCCTATGAGGGAGCTGTTGTTTTCTCCATCTTATAGATGTGAAAACTGGCTTTGGAAAAAAATACCTTGGCAAAGGTTATACATTACCAAAAAGGAGAGATGGGATCTTAATCAAGTCTTATGTACTTCCAAAACTCATTCCTTCCATGCCCTAGTCTTCCAACTCAGTGAGAATATCTCCAAATCATGTCCAGTGCCCCATTGCCTTGCCTTGAACTCCTTTCCCCAGTTATATATAGTAAAACAATCACATACCCACTGATTCACTGATTAAAAAAAAAAAGTGGCTTCTGCATTGACTGCTCCACTTGGCAGTTCCTTTAAGTGGTTTCATAATCCAGCTGTCGAAGCAGAAAATAATGCCACGTTATTTTTTCCTTTTTAGTTCATGTTGGAATTTATTAGCTCTTTGAATTTGGTGTGGTTGCAGATAATCCCACAGAGCCCCTTGTTCTCTGCCCCCAAAGATCTCCTGTGGTTGTTTTAACCAAGCAACTTCAAATGCCCCTCCTAATTTTGATTTTTTTGTCTCTAGACTACTTTCATTTCTAAACTTTGAAATCTTGCAGAAACAGGTGAGTATTCAAAAACACCCTCTGGGAGGCCAAATGCTGACAATAGTCATGTTTCTTTTACATGAAATTAAAAGACCACGGTTCCCAATGGAAATCACCCTGTTCTGGTAATTGAGTCCTTCTTTCCCCCTCAGATACTATCTCAAAG